AGAGAGAGAGAGAGAGAGAGAGAGAGAGAGAGAGAGAGAGAGAGAGAGAGAGAGAGAGAGAGAGAGAGAGAGAGAGATTTTCCTCGGATTTTTTTCCTTCTTTCTCGTCCCGTTTTCCCTCTTTTTTCGTCTTTTTGCATTACTCTTCGTCTTGCCAAATGGCAGACGCGAAGTGCGCCACGTGTTCCGTCCTGGTTCTATTGAACGTGCAGCATGAACACGTGGCGCACTTTGTGTCTGCCATTTGGTAGACATAGCCCTTCACTCTTCTTCCTCTTCTTCTTCTTCTCCTTCTCTGTTTCGTTTCTGCTTCTTTCTCCTTTTCTTCGTCTTCTTTCTCCTCTTCGTTTGCTTCTTTTTCCTCTTCATTGTCGCCTCCTTCTCTCTTCTTCTTCTTCTTCATCCGCTTTTTCGCTATGGCATGACCATGCCTGGATGGCGCGCAGCTGGCTGCCACGTGCAGCGATTGGCTATGCACGTGCTTGGAGGGGTGCAGCCATCGGCCTCAGTACTCCCCCTCCCCTTCCCCCCCCCCCCGCCCCTTCCGCCTCAAAAGCTGGGTACCCCTTTCCCCTCCCCCCGGCCCCCCGAAATGGCTTGAGGCGCGGGCGGGGTATTAGTGGGGGATCTGCAGCTCCTCTTTCCATCACAGCCTTCAGCAGCTGTCTCTTATACACATCTAGATGTGTATAAGAGACAGAGTGGGGGATCTGCAGCTCCTCTTTCCATCACAGCCTTCAGCAGGGACCTGTCGGCCTTTTTTTCTTTTTTTTTTTTTTTTTTGGGCCACGGTTCGGGGGGCAAACGAGTACAATCGTTTTTTTTTTCGCGGTGGAGGTATCTATAACTCTCAGCGCTCTTGAGTTCGGTGGGTGAATACGACGACGAGGTGTCGTTTTTTTTTGTCAATGCGTTCCGGTTTCGGATTCAACTCGGCCATTGAAAAACAGTCGGGGGAAAAAAAAAAAAAAAAAAAAAAAAAAAACAGTCTGCCTCCCCCCGCGGTGTCATTGTTTCCACTGTTCCCCTCCTCTTCTTGTGTCTTTCTTTCTTTTCCGTCTTCTTTTTCTTTCTTTCTTTCTTCTTTTTCTTTCGTTTTCTTTTTCTTTTTCTTTTTCGTTTTCGTTTTCTTTTTCTTTTTCTTCTTTCTATCATTGCCGTTCTTCTTCTCCGTTTTTCTTCTTTCTATCCCCTTCTTCTTCGTTGGCCATTGCTTACCTTCTTCTTCTTCTTTCTATCCCTTCTTCTTCGTCGGCGTCTTTTTCTGGTTCCTTCTCAGTGGATGCGGATTAATATGGAACGCTTCTGTCGAAGCGTGCACGAAAGACAGTCTGTGGCGCCTCTGTTGATCGGTGTTCTTATTCTTTTTTAAGCACGTGGAGGGACACGTGTGACATCCCATCATTGGCTGATCGACGAACGTCGTTATATTCGATCAATCATCGACTTCTTGATTGCTTGAATGCTTTGCGTGATTTCTTGCTGGTTTGTTTTGATTGATTGCTTGATTGCTTGCTTGCTTGCTTGCTTGCTTGCTTGATTGATTGATTGGGGGATTGATTGATTGATTGGTTAATTGGGGGATTGATTGCTTACTTGATTTACTTGATTGCTTGGTTGATTAATCGGCGTTTTTTTTTTTTTTTTTTTTTTTTTTGAAACATTGCTCCAATCTGTTGGTGGGAAGCCTCACCTGCTGGAAAACTGGTCCAGCGTCCCTTTTGTACATTTGGAGAATGCCAGAAAAAAAACAAGGAAAAAGTGAGGCTTTGGCTGCCAGCATTGACTGCTCCGACGAGCCGGAGGGTTAACTGTGCAGCTGATTTTCCGAGGGTTCTGTCCAGTTCCTTGATTGATTGATTGATCGGTGGATTGGTTGCTTACTTGATTGCTTGCTTGATTGTTTGTTCGCTTGCTTGCTTGCTTGATTGCTCGTTCGTTTGATTGCTTGCTTGATTGCTTGTTCGCTTGATTGCTTGCTTGATTGCTTGCTTGATTGCTTGTTCGCTTGATTGCTTGCTTGATTGCTTGTTCGCTTGATTACTTGTTCGCTTGATTGCTTGGACGCTTGATTGCTTGCTTGATTGATTGGTTAACTGGTGGATTAATTCATACATTAGTTGTTATATTATGTGCTTTGATTGATTGCTTGATGTTTGTTCTTTTTCCTTTTCGTTCTTTTTCTTTTTTGTCTTGTCTTGTCTGTTGTCTGTTTGCGCAGGTACCCCTATGACTTCTCCTAGCGAGTTCTACGATCCTCTTCCATCCGATAACGACGGTGAATGGCGGCCATCGATCCACTCGTCCGATCAACGGCACCCGACGGCTTGCGCAGCCCCGCTGTACCAGTCGCATTTCTCGCAGGCGCTGCATGTGCGCGCTCATGACACGCACCGAGCGGCGGACGCGCCGCCGCACATCTCTTCCCGCCGCACTCCCCTCGTCCCCTCGTCCGCCGGCGGCGCACGTCAGTTCGTCACCCATGAGTGGCATGCCAACTCCTTTGTCATGCCCGACCCCTCCTTACGGGACAGCACCTACAACATCATGATGCGGGAAGTGGCGGCGCTAATCTCCCAGCACCTTGTGCCTCATGGCGCGCAGCTGGCTGCCACGTGTCCCCGCCCATCGCCGCCGTCGATCGCCGCGGCCAGCGACTGGTCCCCCTTCCACGGCATGTTCTCGATCAATGTGGGGGGCAAGCAGCCGACCACCGCTTCCCATGCTCACCCATCGCCATCACCACCGCCACCTCCTCCTCCTCCTCCCCCTCCTTCTCCTCCTCCTCCTCATTCTCCACGTACCCGTTCTGCCCCCAACCGCAATTCAGGACGTGACGACCTTCATCATCAGCACGACGACAGCAGAGAGCGGGAGCTGAGAGATAGAGAGAGGCAGATCCTCGAGAGAGAGCGCCAATTAATCGACAGAGAGCGGCAGCTGCTCGAGAGAGAGCGGGAGGTGATTGAGAAGAAGCTAGCGCTGGTGGAAGAATTGACAGCGTCACGTGGTCCTCTTCCTGGCTATCATGCCAGATTCCCCTCCTCCCGCGCTAATGGTCACGTGTCACATCAACAGCAGCAGCAGCAGCAGCAGCAGCAGCAGCAGCAGCAGCAGAGGGAGCAGAGGGAGCAGAGGCAGCCAAGGCAACAGAGGCAGCAGAGGCAGCCGCCTGGGGAGCCGGCGCCGCCTCCGCCTCCGCCGGACGGCTTTCATCCCGACGGCAATCCCCGGAACAATCGCGGGCGGGAAGCCGCGCCTCGAACTCGCGCGTTCCGTACAGATCCCGACCCCGACTTTGCGCACAATATGCAGACGTGCGAGCGGGTCAGAAGTCGTCCCGGCCTGCGGTCGCGCGACAGGCTGGGGCGCGGGGTTGCTCGCCCCG